GCTGCAGTGGCACAGCTGTGCTGCTGAAGACACTCTATGCCGACAGGAGAGAGCTCTCCCGTTGGCATAAAAAGCACCTCTGCGAGCGGCAGAAGCAGCTCTCCTGCCTACATAGCACTGTGCACACGAGCACTTCTTCATGTCACATATGCCGCTCAGGGGGTGGAATATTCACATCCATGAGCGACATAAGTTTTGCTGACATTGGCTGTAGTGTAGACATAGCCTTAGTCCTTACACACCATCACCCCAAGGTATCTCTGCAGTGGGTCACAAAATATCTTGGTTTTCTGTGCTGGAAAGAAGTATTCAAAGCTCCCCTTTTGATGATTGACTTTTATCAGTCAGTTGGTAAGTCTTTCATAATTTCAGTTACAAATCCTTTAAATGAGCTTATCAGCTTGATCACTTCATGTGCTCTGTTTAAAAAAACACCACCTAAACCCCTGAATACATCGCCATTGACTCTTGTTTCAGAGCACTAGTTTCTTTTCAGAAGAGGACTGTCATTTTGGAAGAGGGCTAAGATTATGACATAACAAGAGAATATATTTGTCCAGGATGATTGGGGGGAAACAGAAAAAAGGATAGCCCAGTCTGCAAAAGTGTGGATGTGGGATCTCTCTCCAAAACTGTAACTCTGGCTTCATGGAAACATTAGTTAGGAGCATCGGCATGGCCTTATCAGCTCAGACCAGTGATCCATCTAGTCAAGTATCACATCTGACACTTAACTGAACCTGATGTATTCCTCTGCTTGATTGGGGAATGACATACCAGGCGAGAAGTATCTTCCTAACCCAAGCAGTTAATGGTTGGCATAATCCATGAAGCAGGAGGGTTTATAGCCTTTCTCATATATATCTTCCCCACTAGGCCAGTGGTCCCCAAACTTTTCAGGGTCATGCCCTCTCCTTACTCCTATCTGTGTCCCCCTCCCTCCCAGAGCTGGGGCCGTGAGCAGGGCTGCAGCCGGGTGGTGGGGTGGGGACAGGGACAGGAGTAAGCGGACTTAGGCTGGGGCCATAGTTGGGGGTGGGGCTGGTGGGCAGGACCCCGGGCGTGGGACAGAGCTGGGTGGCGCTTCCTCCCTACCCCTCATAGGAGCTGGCCTGGGCCCAGCCACGCCCCCCCAAATGTTCCTCCATGACCCCCTAGGCGGGCGTGCCCCACAGTTTGAGGATGTCTGCACTAGGCTCAGTGATATCTTGAGGCAATGCATTCCATAAGTTAATCATGTTGCATATTTCCTTACTCTTCAAAATTTCTTTGTTTCATGGAATGTTCCCTTGTTCTTGTTTTAGGAGTGCCGTTTTTTACTTGTTTGTAACTCATTATTTTATATTCCTTTCATCATGACCGCTCTTGCACTTCTCCTGTCTCAACTAAACACTTCCAATGTCTTCAGCCTTTCCTATTAAAGTCTTGCCCATCTCTGGATCACTCCTACTTCAGCTATATCTTTTGAGATAGGGTGACCAGAATTAAGCACAATGTTCACGTGAAGTGTGTATCATACCATTGATTTACATATTCATATTATAATATTTTCACTATTCTCTTCCATTCCTTAAACATCAGAACATTTTATTTTCTGATTGCCACCGTTCACTGAGCAGAGGTTTTCACTGAGCTGTCCGCAAATGACTTCAACTAACATCCTTGCCGTTGTGTTCACTTTCAAAAGGGCTGATTTAAATTTTTGGGGTTTTGATGATTTCCATAAAACTACACTCTGTGCAATCCTGAGACACCAGGGAGGTGCCAGAGCCAGTAGAGAGAGAACCTCCTTCTTAGCTTAATTGCAACATAACTATTAAATTCCTCACTTTAGTGTGTGGGTCTCTGCAAAGTGCTTTTAATGTGGTTTGACCTATTATGTAGGGTTAGACCAAACCCATGTTATAAAAAGTCTGTATAATCTTGAAAGTAAACAGCTTTTTCCCCTCAAATTTGTGTTTTCCTTTACGTTTTCTAAGTTTTCAATACATTTTATTTTATTTTTATTTATTTTGTGGTAACAGGTTTTTGGTTCTATTCTAGTGGCTATCCACAGTCTTACATGGACATTTGACATAATATACAGTGCAAAGGCTAAAGAATGTTAAATGTTGAGGTGAGATGGCTGACTTACCAATTGGATAAACATTATCAGGGACCTTATTTATCAAGGCATCTGTCATGCCCTAGAATATCCCTCCTTTTAAAAGGAAGTGAAACATTTATTTCTTCTCCACAGCATCTCTACTTGTTGCTGTCAGTTGATAAGCAAAGCTTGTGTAAAATAACAAATCTTTGATTTGTGGCTTCTGCCGTGGAACATTATTTTTCTCTGATTCTGCAGAAGTCTGACTGGTTCAGGAGCAAACAGGTTTGAGTCCCAGCACCCGTGCAACATCTTACTAGCTTGGAGCAAACATGCCTCCCCCACCTTCTCGTGTATGGAAGGCCCACATTGATGATGCCAAGCTGACTCATCTAGGTCATGCTGGGAGAGCGTAGCTACGCCAACACAATGCGGAAAGCACCCAGAGGCTCAGATCCAGCATATTTGCAGCCTGTTACATTCAAAAGGGTGCACGGGCCTTTCTGCTTACACCAGCCTCTCTAAACCCTGGACCGTGATGGCTGCAGCCAGTATGGGGGTCTTTCTACCTGGCTTTGATGTGTCCTTGCCCAGTTGGGGATTGAGAATGGGTCTGTACTGCCGAAATCGAGATGTTCAAACTCCCAGTTCAGTTCTGATACTCTGAGTTAGTTGGTCACCATGAGAGAAGGTTTTCTGGGGTAGCTTGTATGTCTGTTTGCTTCGTTACCAGCATCAGAACTATTAATTGAAGATCTCCACCAGCACAGCTAAACCAAACGCCTGCCCTGCAGCTCTTTTAGAATCGTGTCACTAGTTTGGCAAGTTCTTCACAGATTTTTTGGCAGTTCTTTGCATGTGAAAGGGATGTGCAAAGCTATGTGTGGAATATATACCGATTAATTACCTAAA